AATATGGAAAGTAATAAGATCACACGTAAAGCCTTTAAAAGAAACCCGTGGAGGGGCAGAATAAGGGGGGAGAGAGACTCTGGGTTTGGGGGAGCGACGTTAGGGGTTTGCATGGTGAAAGGGGGGGGTCCTCGTTGCTCCCCATGGCCCTGCCAGTGCCCATCAACCTGGCAGCATCAAGCCCTTTTTTGGGGTGAAAAAAATCCTTTTTCAGGGTGGGAAAAAAAAAATAATCCTTTTTTGGGGGTGGGTAGAAGCCCCTCTGTGAGGGGACGCGGCCCTTCTGCAGGCAAGCATCAACCGCGTGCACACGGGGAAGGAGCGGGTGGATGAGGGGTGCTGATGCCCCGTGTCGTGCTTTTTTTTGGGGGGGATCTGGGGCTGCCATTCCCCCCCCCCCCAGTTTCTGCTCTGAGAAGGAAAATACTGAGAGCAGCAGGAAAGCAGGCGCCCCTGAGACCGGGGTATCGCAGAGCGTCTCTGCGCCGTCACTCACCCCGCTATTTATCCCTGGCCCGGGAGCTCCCACAGAGCCCTCGCGGCCCCATTTTGGGGGTCAATTCCTTCGTTACCAGTTTCTCCAAGCCCGCAGCCGGCGGCGCAGTTTGGGTAGGGGGCCGCGCTCCGGCTCATCCCCCTCGGCAGCTGGGATTTAGGCCTCGTTGCGGCCAGAAACAAACCCCCGGGTGCTATTTGAGGGCACAGCCTGACTTGTAATTCCTACAGCCGGCCCCGTTTTGGGTCCCCGATTCCCACGGGTGCTCCGGCGAGCTCCGTCCTCCCTGCAGCCCCTTTATCTGTGTCAAAACCACCTTCTGGCCTACGCTTGCAGGGTTGGTTTGGGTTGTGTTTTTTTTTTTCTTCCCTCATCAACCCTGTTGAGCTGGTGACCTTCAAGGCTGCGTAAATGTTACAATCCTTTCCAAAAAGGCTCAATAAGAGGCAAGTGGCGTTTAGAGGACTTGGGGAAACCATCACCAGATCAAATAACGCCTGTTTCCGAGGCCAAAACCCATACAGCCTCGATCCCCTCCCCCTACCGTTGACTTCCCGACCTAAATCGCCCCTTTTTTTATTGTGCTAAATACAGACAACCTTTGGACTGGGTGTTGAGGCAGGCTGCATGCACGGAAATCTCACTGTTCTACCTGTGTTTTTCATAGAAACCCAGCGCCGAGGCGCAGAAGTGGCCGGCGCAAGCGGGGGAAACCCCCTTTTACACAAAATAAGTCTTTATTGAGGATCCTGCCGAGGACTTCGGCAACCTCACGCTCCCTCCTCACAGCGAGGGAGCTGGGCAAGAGGTCTTCCACCCGTGGCAACGCTGCCGTGAGCTCGAGGGAAGCCCGGGTTTTGGCGGAGGAGCTGGGATTTCCCCCGGCAAGCGCCAGTCCTTGCCTGTCCCTTGTGTCTTTGGCACCTGGACACGCTGCTGCCACACGCCGCGGCGTCCAGCGTCGTTTCACCTTGCCCCGTCCGCTCCTCCCATCCTGCTCTCTGGTCCCTCCCGCGGCCAAGGAACCGGAGGATGAGTCCTGCTACGAACCAACGCCGTCCATCACCCAGCCTCAGGGCATGTCCGGATCCTGCCCGAGACCCCCCCGATATCCAGCCGAGGCTGCAATGGGAGGTGGGGTCTTCTCCGGTTCACCGCCGCCCACCAGGGTGTCCCCAAGCCCCGGCAGCTCCAGGGGCTCCGTGGCCAACGCTCCGGGTGCCTCCGGGTGCTCCAGCCCTGCCCGCCTCCCTGCGCTGAAGTTCAGCGGTGGGGATGGCACCGTCTGCCGCTGGCTCCCCTCGGCGTGGGGGGGTCCGCCGGGCACTTCGGGGTGACTTTTGCTTTTGTGGGCAGTGACGTTGTCTTTCTTCTCGAACTTCTTGCCGCAGATGTCGCAGGAGAACTGGTAGAAAGAGTCGGCGTCGTGTTTCTTCATGTGCCAGTTCAGGGAGGCTTTCTGGCGGCAGGTGAAGCCGCAGATCTCGCACCTGGGAGAAAAGAGGATGGGATTCAACGTGAAAGGGAAGAGAAAGAAAAAAAAAAAGGTATTACAAGGGATTAAGCACGAGGGAGAACTGGCCCCGCCTCATCTTGATGCTGCAATTTTACGTGGGCTTAGCAAAGCCACTGCCCCGCAGCGCTGCGTTAGCTCTGCGTGGCTTCAGCACACCCTCCAGGCAAGAAAATGCATCGCTCTCGTTAAGTCCCAGCTTATTAAGCTGCTCCAAATGGAGCCCATGCCCTGAAGCTGATCCTGAAGCTGCTGGATCAGAGCGCAGCCAGCCCCAGGGGCAGAAACCTTTAGGCAAAGCAAAAGTAACAGCAAGTCCTCTGGCTACCCACGGCGAGAGACTTGGCTCTCCCACCCATGCACCCAGAAGCTAAATTTGGGTTGAAAAGCGACGGGGAGAAACCCCGATGCCAACCGGAGAGTCAGCAGTCGCGTTGGTGGGACTGGTACTTACTGCAGGGGTTTCTCCCCTGTGTGGATGCGCCTGTGGATGATCAAGTTGCTGCTGGTACGAAAGGAACGGGCGCAGAACTCGCAGATATAGTCCCGCTTGTCTGTGGGGCAGAAGGAAAAAGGATTAGGGGCTGATCCAGTCTAGAAGAGCAGTCGGGGGGGCTTTCAGGATGTATTTTAGGAGGCAGGATGCTTTCCCAGCACAGAAATGGAGATGATAAACGACAGACTGACAGTAGATCTCGGGAGCAGAAAGCAAACGGGTGCGGTAACATCTACCAGGGATGCAAATGGGAATGGTGAGGACGTGGGCACGGTCAGCTGTGGCCCAGCAGAGGTGGGACCAGCGCAGGGGAGGAGGTATAGGGAGGTATAGATCTGCGTAGGGTGCCCGTGCCGAGGTGGCCAGCTCACCGCTGTGCAGTTTCTCGTGCTCCTTGAGGTGCTTCTTGAAGTTGAAGGACTTGCCGCAGCTGGGCTCCGAGCAGGTGAAGGTCTTCTGGTGGACGTGCTGGTACTTCTTGTGGTGCTGCCGTTTTGGGGAGAAAAAAGGAGGAGCGAGAAGAGAGGAGGTCGGCGCTGAGGAGCTGCACTTGGAGGAAGCCCAAGGGCACCTTCCAGCGACAACCCCCCACCCTGTTTCGCTCCCTGAAAGCGCGTGGTGGGACTTCAGGTGACCTCAGGCAAGCCGAGCTGCTGCTGAACGCACGGGGCCAACGGGTCCCCTGTCTTACCATCCAGCTTCGGGAAGCCATGGGCAATTCAGGTCGCCCAACTCCAGCTCTAGGACAACAGCCAAGATGTCCAAAACAGAGCTTGGACAGGCAAAACCTGACCTATCTAGTGGGTCACCAAAGCTCCTGGTGGCCCCAGAAGAGACTGGGAGTGGGAGGGACGCTCGCGCCCGGCTCGGCTGCACCTCCCCGGGGCATGAGAGGTGGATTTAAGCGCAACAGTTGCCCCCAGCCCCCACGTTCAGGGACTGGCGGTTGGAGAAGATCTTGCCGCAGCCTTCGAAGTCGCACAGGAGGATCTCGCGCTTTGCCGCCTTCCTGCAGGAGAGAGGGTGGAAAAACCGCCGTCAGTGAGGATGAGCAGGGAGGGGAGCCGAAGAAGCTGTGGCTTTTGGATTTGGCACCCCGCTAGGTCCTCCTCACCCATCCTCCCTCTTACCCACCCATCAAAAGCTTAATTGAAGCCCTTCGGGAGGCTCCTGTCAGAGCAAGCGTTGCTCGCCAAGGGTGTCCCACCACGGAAGGGCTGAGCTGCACCTTCTCGTCTTCCCGAGGGGCCGGGAAATGGCGCGGCAGCTTCCCCCTCCCCACCGGCCCCAGGTACCTGATCCTCTTCGGGCCGATCTGGGCCACGTCCTCGTCGCACGGCCGCGCTCGCCTCTTGCAGCTGCAATGGGAAAGAAGGGTCTTGAGTGAGGCTCTCGTCCCTCCTCTTTGTCCCCAAGCACAGAGCCGAGAAGCTGTGGTCCTCCAACCTCGCAGCTGATGGGTTTCCAAGCAAACCCTACGTTAAACCCATCCTCTGGGCAACCATTTCTCTTTTATTTCTTCCATTTGGGGAATTCGCTCCGATATTTCTCCCCAGCGGAGCAGAAAACGATGTTGTTAACAAAGGCACAGACATTATAAATAGGAATATATTCTTTATTGCTCATTACAAAAAAAAATCTTTCACATGGCTTTGGATGTGTCCCAGGACATTTAAGATTGCTGTCAACCTCACGCCAGCCTCGTTTGATCTATAATTTATCTGCAGCTCCTTGGAAACAGCAGCTATTTCGGGCTGACATCCTGAAATTAAAGAAAGATACGTTAAAAAAAAAAAAACGGCGTGCTTTCACGGGGAGGAGAAATAAAGAGATCGTTTAACAGACGATGCCAGACCACATCCTCAGCACGGAATAAAAATAGGGGCTGGGCATCTTTGTCCACAATCTCTTAGACGTGTTTTATTAGCTCACGATGGCATTACCTTTGGGAAGCGAGAAGAGGATGAACACACCGAAGCCTGGAGGCTCTCGCTTTTGCTCATAAAATAGTCTTTTACCTCCATTCTTCCAGCTGCTGCAACAAAAAAAAGAAGGGGGGGAAAAAAAAAATCAATCAAACGCTTGTAAAGATGATCTCTGTAACCAAGCTCAGCCTTAAAAAGGGCAGCACCAACTTAAAAGTTTAGGCAGGGCTTTGGAGGGGGGGTTAAAAGCTCCAGGGCCGCTCCAAGTCCACGGCCACTTTCATCGGCCGCTTCTGCAAATCTCCAATGGTCCTTGGGTGCATCTTTAGGCACTTTTGGGGGGCCGAACACCAGGATTTTGAACGGGAGGCGTGCAGGAGCCCAAAAACGCCAGAGGGGTGTGAAAAATCCCTCTTTTAATTCACTTTTGGCCTTAACAAGGACTACCTAGGCCTAACCCAAACTGTTCCACCCTCAGATTGAATTTTAGAGCCTGGGCGCTACGTGACCAGCGGTGGGCAGGGAGAGGAGAAAAGCAAAGTGCCATATTTACCGTCACGTTTTCCTTTGCTGGGACTGCGTCTCCGGGAAGGCGTTCGCTCTTCCAGCGAGCTGCGAGGCCGTTTCAGAGCTGCAAGGAGACGGGAAGGGTGTTCAGCACCGAAAAGAAGCGGCAATACCATGCCAAAGTGAAAAAGCAAATCAGTAAAAGCCTTAAGGGAGCAGCACAATACTTACGTGGTGAGTTTTGGGGCGTGCGTTTTGCTGCCGGTCCCGTCTTTCACAGGACACACGAAGGCAAGATGTGTTACAAGGCGGTGTTAGGTGGTCACTCCGGCTAACTCCAATGAAAAAGGGGGTTTTAACGCCCTCGTCGTATTAAAAGCGTAAGAAAAAAATCCGGCAAGGCGACATCTCCGTGTGTGTCAGACCCAAGAGGCAACGCACGGACCATCCTCTTGTTTCAGCATCGAGACCAACCTCTATTCAATACTCTCGCATAAAGACCCAGCAAATAATTGAGTGATGATTTGAGCTTGTTTGGAACAGAAAAGTGCATTTTGAGCCCAGGTGGCTGGGAAGGAAAGATTAAAACCTAACCCTCGGCCTCGAACAGGCAGTGGTAAAGAGTGCCTGCAAATTAAATCGTCGCGGTCATTACCAAGCTGTCCCTTGACCGACAGATGAGGGTGGCAGCGCTGCCGCCGCTACTCACATCTCCCCATGGCCTTGAGCTGCTGGGCAATACAGCTGGGCCATATAGAGCTGCTCTGGCTGCTGGAGACGCCCCGTATCTATAGGTGGAGACGGCCGTCGCTGTGCTTATGCAGGGGGTGGAGGGGGTGGGACGTATGGATTTTTTTTTTTTTGCTGCTGCAACCTCCAGGCTGCTCGGGGGCTTCAAGCCCCCCCGCGGGGGGGGCTTAAGGGGGCTTCGTCCCCCCCCGGGGGGCAC